GAGGTTATCGCGTTTCTTCGATGGCGCGTCCAGAACCCCTGATGTCACCCGCAGTCTCCCCGGAGCATGGACCCACTCCCAATCCTTCAACGCCTCATCTTCTTTAGCGCATCATCAAGGCTACCCCAACCGACCTCCACACACCGTCTCAAATCATCCCAAGCATGTATCAAGCACTCGTCGCGCCTATCTATCGGACATCCAAAGTCCATCAGCTCTGCGCGCCGCCGAATGACATCAGCCACCGAAGCAAGTTTCAACTTCTGGCCTCCCGAAAAACCAGGGACAGCATTGCTGCTCACGTCGGACTTCCATTTGGTTGCTCTTGTGCAACGAAACTCGTGCGGTTTCTCAATGCATTTGAGGATGGCGCCGAAGCCGTTGATGCGTATGTTGGGTGTGTAATGTTGGCGCTCACGAGCATAGATGCTGTCTCGGAGGAGGTCGGTGAAGAAGAGGAAGACGGCTTGTCTTAGCTTCTTTATTGGCACTTCAGAGCATGCTCTCTCGCGTCCCTTGTTGTCTTTTATGACGATCTTGATGGTCGACCACATGTTGGCTTTGGGTATGGACATGCTGCTCAGGAAGCGCACGAGACCTCTCATGTTAATCTTAACATCCTCGAGACCTTTGTCCTCATCCAGGATGAAGTAGAGGTTGATGCTCTGGCCGCTGGTAAGTCCAAACTCGCCCCTGGCGATGTAGCTGGTTGTTGTATTGTTGATGGCCTCCGGCCAGAGCAGGGTGTCGAGTGCGCTAAATCTCATGAAACTTGTCTCGGCTTTCTGACTGGTCATCGAGAGGGTCAACGCATACCCTGGTCGGATGAGAGACTTCACCGAACAGGGAACCAGACTGAGAAGGGTGAGATCAAGTCCGTGTGTAACATGCGCAGTCAGATCCACGACGATGCCTTCGGGCCCAAGCGCTACATATCGAGCGATGATCTGTCGAATCGATCTAGGCAGGTCTGCGCGGGATTTTATCGGCTTCTTTGGGTTCCAGGAGACTTCTGCTCCTTTACTCAGAACAGTGAAGAACCTCAGCCCCGAGCGTTTGTACTTGACGAAGTGCCATTCAGATCGCGATCTTCCCACTTGTTTAAATTCAATCACGACACTCTTTAACGATCGCGAAACATGCCTTAGTCCAAGCATATCTTCTTTCCCGAGAGTATGTAAAAGAGTGTTGAGATCTTCGGGGACCGCTGTAGGGTCACTTGCACCATGAATATGCGCAGAAAGCGCTCTTCCTGTAGACTCAAAGACTATCTCGCATTTGGCTTCCGGATGCGCCCACATGATGCGAAGGAGGGGGAGGACATCGAAATCGGCCGCCCACCGGCAATGGGATGGACACATGGCATCCGTGTCGATGACCACCTTGCGCAGGAAGCGGTAATGATCTCCAATAGAATCCATCCATCGAGCAGAGTAGTTCAGTTGGTTGTATCTTTCGTTATTGTAAAAGATTGGTTCAAACCATGCACGATATTCGTTTGTAAGATAGTTGATATCGTGTCTGTCGGTGCGTCGAGTGAAAGCGAACGTGTTGTGCCCGTAGAGCACTCCAACTGCCTCGGAACAAATCTGGCGACAAGATGTGAGCATGCCGAGCCCATCCGAAAGGCCGTGGGCAAAATGTGCTTTCAAAAACTTCAGATCCTTCGCGTCGTTGTCCATAGCTGCTGCCCATGCTGAACGGTCGCGTTCGTAATGCGAGATGCCTTCATATCGACAGGATTCGCACAGACAGCGTGGCCCCCCATCATCGTCGTAGTCGTCTAGGTCCGGGGCTCGTGGAAAGAATGCGTCAGCGTTGTGTAAGAAGACGGGACCATCATTCTCGAAAAGCAGCTCGTAAACGGCGTTTCGTATTTCGGCAGGCAGTTCTAAGAAGGAGGGTTTGGACGGGTCGGCAGGATGAGAAGTGACTTGCGTTGGTGCCGTAATTGTCGCATTTTGCGATGTGAAACTGGCCATCGCGCGCGTCGATGAGACGCTTGAAGCTGTCTACTGAGTGATGAAGAGATGAGTAGGTTACCTAAAGACCGAGCATTTCGCGAAAAGATTTGGAAAACAGCAGTCGCGTAATTATTATCGCTACCGCACTGAGATGTGGATACCAACCGCGGAAAAAACCCCAATCTATCCACGAGATCTATAATATGGTGCGTTGATTTCGCCCAGCATGATCGGAATTGCAAAATTTATCGCTGGTGTAGCGAATGCAGTTCATGGAAACATGCGGTATACCACATTCCAACAGATCGCATATCGCGTCAACACAAGAGCTTGCGGTGATATAGTCCAATAGCGCTATGCAGGGGAACTGAGCATGCCCTATCTGTCTCAGCACTAGACCAAGAGGCAATCAATCTTTGCCGAGTTGCACAGAAGCTCTTGCTCACGGAAACACAGACAAAGCGCGAGGATTGAAAGCTAATATTGAGGCATCGTGGGGTGTATTTGCGTGCGGACCAAAGCAATACCAGAACGTGATAACTCCCCAAAGATGACTAGTATCTGAGTTGAGCGATGATGTACAGGACTAGGCTCTGGACCATCATCGTTTTGGGCGCCCCCAGGAGGCCAATTGCTGTTACGGCGCAATAAAACTACACGCGAAAACCTACATAAGACCCTCAGGATGGTCGCTAAGCTTTGACCTTGTAAGAAGCCCGGTCCAGCAAACATGTATCCTCTAGTACATCCTGTACGTTTGCATGTCACTCCATTCAGAACTAACGTCCAAAACCTCCTGTGCGTATCGCATCTCGACGTATGCAGCTTCCATATATCCGAGACTCGCCACAACGTTAGGAAAGTCATACATGTACACTTGGTAGTATCTTGCCCGAGTCTTGCGCGACGGTTGTGTGGTATAGCCACGAGAGTATGGTTTGCGGTCGAAGTCCGCCGTCCAGAAGTGCTGTAGAAACATTTGCAGAAAGAGTTTTATATTCGCCTTTCCGTAATATACGAGTTCGGTATACCAGCTTTGATCGGAGAAAGACGGAATCTTAGACTTGACGACCTCGTGTCTTTGGTAGAGATATTCAAAATAGAGCGTCTCGAGTTGCGATAGTTTGAGCAAGCCCTGGGCTAGAGATTGCCATGAGCCATCCGTCAGAGAAACGGATGAGAAGCGGACGTCCTTCAGAGTTTTGGTGTGCCGCTTAACGAAGCGGCGGAGCCTGCTTCCACTCACGTAGGCCTTTTTCATAGAGAAATAGGTCAGGTGAGGAAAGTTCGCGGTCACAATATGCTTGAACACCGCGTCGCATCCGTCGCAGAGCCTTAGCATGGGCATCTTATCGCATCCAACGATTTCAAGATGGGTGATCTCGTTATATGCTGCAAGAAATCCGGAGAAATCTCGATAGCTTGGCTGATATCCTTTGAAGTGGTAGCCCTGGTTGCCGACCTGTCTTTCCTTCTTCTTTGCCAGCTTCCTATCGAGCGGCGTCCCACTCTTAAAAGCCGAGTCGGGCGCTTTGATGATCAGACCTTTGGTATATGGCGCGCATTCCTCTGGGGAATTTGTAACACTACGATAGTCTGATGTGACGACAGGCTGCGCTAGCACCTCGAAGATTGCGATCTCGCGTGGAAACTCACTTGCTGCTAGAGCGGCGGGAACAAGACCGTACAGGTTGCGCCCGTGAACGGTAATCTCCGATAGCGCAGGGGCGTCTTTCAAGTTCCGAAAACATTGCGCGAGAAGGTGTACCGTCTCGCTAGACTCCAAAGACGTCGTTATATCGTCGAAGATCTGCCCTCGAAACGCGGCTTTAGCCTGAGGCGTGGGTGGACGGCGTTAGTAAGTGTCTCATACGTAGTTGGGGTGCGGAGATCCCTCACCCAGTTAGCCGTCAAGTAGTCTGGCGGAGCTTCGTTCTCATAAGGAGACTTGAGTATCAATGTTCGAATCCGCTTGGAGAAGTCGGGGATCTTGGTGATGTGAAGGAGGGCGCAGAGCCCGTTGTGGCTGGCTTCGATATCTAGCTGCTCAAGAAGTAACCCGTATCGCACCGACGCGTCGTACATGGTCTTCGAGTACAACTCTCGACAAGTTATACGTAGTGGTAGGAACTCATCAGTGTTGCAGTAATGAGTAAAGCCGCCGCGTTCATCCTGGATCATTCCAAGATGACGACAGATTCTGCTGATGATCTCGGCGGGTAGTGATGATAACGACATCGTGTGCTATCTGGTGGGTATACTCCTAGGACTCGTGAGCGACTGCTACCGAGCCTGCAGGGTGGTTGATCGAGAAGCTAAGCAGAGTAGGTCGAGGCGTAGACGTGAGCGCCTTATGACTCTGTTAAACAGTTCCTAGACTTATGTAGGCACGAGTACCCGTTGAGCGCTAGGCTCCAGGTACTGTTATGTGCGGGTATCATTCACTATTCCTTGGCACAACTCGCGTTACGCAATGAAAAACACGATTCTCTCGGTTTCGGTATACCAGACACCCTTCTGTATGTATTGATTTAGTACCGGACGAGTCCACAGGGTGAGAAATGACTTGTGCGGGCTCCACGATGTTAAAGTATATATACTCCACACATTGCATGAAGTTTATCGATCGATACTTTTTGCACCTTTAACACACGATTCTCGCACCGTGCGATAAGACGCTGGCCATCGCATGGGGACGACGACAGGGTTTCTGAAATTGCTTGTTGAGGTTTGGAGCGGTCAGTAGGTTGGAGTAAAACTTGAAAATTCGTAATCGTGGTGTTGCTACCGCACTTGGATGGGGATACGAACATCTGAGCACTACAATTTCGCGCGCTAATACAGAGATGTACTCTTCGAATGAATTAATGGTGTAAAGTGGTTGATCTGGCAATGATATATCGTCGTGTAGGAAATGCTGCAATTTCGCCCAAAAGTTCGTGAAGAGTGGCGTGTGCGCCTCATTCAACAGCTACTGCGTCATCACCCCTCTGTCCTTTTCTTCAAGGCATCTGGTGCTTCCTCCTTACCAGATGACTAGTCCAGTATTCCTTCCGCGTATCGTTCAATCGCGTAGGCTGAATCCATTCCAGCAGGCTTCATCACCACGTCAGCAAACCGATACATGATGGCTTCATGGAAGTTTGGTCGTGTCTTCGCAGCAGTGACACCACTTCCAATTCCCCTAGTTTTCTTGTAGTACTTGCGCGTGCGGAAGTAATCCTCAAAGGACTGAAGGTAGCACTTGACGTTCGAGGTTCCCTCCCAAGTACAACTATCGATACAGAATGGTCTGAGTTCTGTCTCAGACAGAGAATCACTCCCAAGACGAGGTACTGCATGCTTTTGGAACAGAAGAGCCCAGTGTAGCATGTCTAGCTTTGGGAGCTTGTATAGGCCTTGGGCGATCGAGCGCCATGATCCGTCCGTTAGCGTTACGAATGTGGAGTCGAATTCCTTCAACGTGGCTGAGTGTTGCTTTATGAAACGTCGAAGTTGACCCCCGCTAATGTAGATTGCGTGGAGACTCAGCCTGGTGATGTTGGAGTAATGTGTAGTAGCAACGTGCCTAGAAAACACTGCATGGCAGCCGTCGCAGAATCTCAAGCGAGGATGGGTCTCGCACCCGTCCAGACGAAGGGTCTCGATCTGACTGTGATTTGCGATAAGTCGGGATAGATTTGTGTGATCAGGCTGATAGCCTTTCAAATGATATCCATGTTCGTTCCACCTTTTGGCGTCTTGTATTGTCTGCTTGATCTCGGGACGTAGAAACATGTAATGTAAGGTCGAGGTGCTAATTTCGATACCCTTGGTGTATGGTGAGCAATCCGCAGGATTTATCATCAGAGTACGATGATCAGCGTTACTGAGGTTTTCAGGCTGTACTGTGAAGACTGCCTTCTTCCTTGCAAAGCCGCTCCTCGCTGAAGCGGCATGTATGATACGGTGCAAGTTCGTACTCCGTACTGGAATCTCCTCCAAAGAAGTCGCTTGCTTCAAGTTCCGGAAGCATGCTGCTAGCAGTTCAACCGCTTCGGGGGATTCTAAGTATGTCGAAATCTCTTCGCGGCGCATTTCACGGGTCGGAGACAATCCCCATGGAATATCGCAGTCGTCCACCGTACTTGTCACCCTAGGATAATAGAACAGCACTCGCTTGATGCGGTCGCGAAAAGCGGGTATTTGAGTTATGTGCAACAGCTGGCAGAGTCCCTTGTAGTCGACGAATATCTCGAGCTCCTCTAGCAATAGTCCGTACCTGACCACGGCGTCGAAAGTAGTCTTGGCGTGAAGGTTTCGGCAGGTGAGGCGGAGCGACTGCAGGTCATCGTTATTGTAGTATACGGAGCCACCTATATCGCGCTCCAGGCCAAGGCATCGACAGATCTTGCTGATGATCTCCGTGGGTAGGGATAGTAGAGACATTCCGAGTCGACTAGAGGAATGCGGTTGAAGCCCACGTTGGTCCAAAAAGGTGCGAAGCTTGAGTGTTGTCGCTGATATAGGCGTTTAGCGGTGTGGTGGAGGCGCGAAGCTTGAGTGTGGTGACTGATGTAGACTCCTGGCTGCGCAGGCGGAAGCCTCGTTCAATCGGTTGAAGGGTATCTATCGCGAGCGACTGATAGAATCCCACGGTGGTGTTGAAAGGCGACGAAATCCGGAGTTGCTCGCTGGTGTAGCCAAACGACTGCGTGGGCGAAAGTTTGCAGTGGCGAGGCGGAAGGTAGAAGTACAAGAGACGCAGAGGATGGAAGTGAGAGAGAAAGCAGCAAACGTATGTGATGGCGCTAGTCCACTTGCAGCTTTGCGCGTAATACTTGACGCAGCGCAAATTCTAGTCCCAACGGCAAAATACACGCGATTTCACTGATAGTCTTTCGTACTTTTGATGCATCTATCGCCCAAGCGTTGCCGTACTAGCAAACTACTCCTCCGGAGGATACACAACAATACGATCAATATCCGCGCCCTTAACATCCTGCCCATTATCCAGCCCACCAATAGTAATAGTGTTATGACTACCCTCCTCCAAGTTCAACATCAGCGGCGTGCTCAGAATGATCCCCTTGTGCGTATCTCTCTGATACAGTGACTCAACCTCTTCCGTCTTGTTGTTCACAATAACACTCGAGATGCGGCGAAGCTGCCAGGTCCCATTGATACGATCAGGTGAACCTCCAGGCTGGTCGCCAAAGCCCATGTCGTCGGTGTTCTGGTAGTAGAATGAGACCCATTGGGGCTTTCCGGTGCCTTCGATGTTGGAGAAGGTGACTTTGCTGTCGTTGCCGTAGATGCCGGTGACGATGACGCCATCGCTGCCGAAGGTGGCTTCTTGGTGATAGGCGTCGCCGGTGGTGGTTGCATCTTTGCCATAGTAGGTGGTGCCGTTGATGGCTGTGACCTCTCCGGTTTTCACGTCGAGGTCGTAGACATCGTACCATTTGAGCTCAACGGACTTCTTCTCTTCGTCAATCTCAAGCGGTAGCCAGATGTATCTGCTTTCCCAGAGACTGATTGAGTCCCATTGGTCGCCCATGTATAGGTAGGTAGTCTTCTTGGTACCATTGATCCGAAGATTCAATCCAGATTGCGAGTTGAAGGTACGTGTGTTGAGCGGTGCGATGATGAAAGGTTGAGACCAGGGACCAGAAAGGGAGTCGGCGCGGAAAGCAACCACGTCTGGAAGTGGTCAGTATATGATGTAGACATGCGATGAGTGAAGATACTTACTGTTTGGGCGGTAACCCGTCTTATGCGACATCAACGCAAAGTAGCTCTTATCGGTTTGCACAATCGTCGGTGCTTCCAAATCGTACTTGTCGAAACGATGAACGACTTCATCTAGAGCAGTGATGTTCTCATTGAAGGACGTCAGGTAGACGTCGCGTCCTTCCCTGCGGTCACCATTGGAGTATAGCGAATACGCGCGGCCGTCTTTCTGGTCGACAAATAGACCGAAATCTTGTGACCAGTTTCCAAGTGGCGCTGTAGCATCGACGAAGCTGTAGGGGCCGGTGATGTTGTCCGAGACCGCAAGACCTTGCAGAAGCTCTCCGTAGGTGGAGTTGTCGGCGTGCCACCACATCTATCAATGTTAGCAAAGCTACCGTGGTTGCTGAAGACGAGTGCTTACATGGTATTGACCGGTGCCCTCGCTGTATACAACCTTCGGCCGTTGAATGATGTCCTCAGGTGAGATGTAGGGGTGGCCCTCGATGGGCTCCAGGGCCAGACCATGAGGCTCCCATGTCGCAAGGTCGTCGGAGCTGTACACGCTGACACCACCACCTTCTTCCTGTCCCTCGATCTTGTACTCGCCGAACCAGAAGTACTTGCCCGTCTCTTGATCCACAGTAATACCACCAGCGTGCGCATTCACAAGAGTGTCATCGGTAGCTCTCCAACGCGCTCCCGGAACGATCCATTTGGCAGAGGCAGTCGCTGCAGCTAGCAACAGCTGGCACGAAAGCGTGTTGAACCCCATTGCGATGTGATGCGATGGCGGACTGGGGTGACGGCCATTTTCTGGTACATGGCTGTAGACCTCATATAGCCGGTTGCAGAAGCATGGATGTTTACCAGCCAAGCGGCTCCGGATTGTGTTCACCCGAGCATTCAGGAACCTAAGCCCTGGATATCATCTTGCGGGGCTCCGCAGCTATTAGCGGAAGCGATCGTCGTGTTTCTCCAGGTTTTGGGATAGCCCGCTACCGCAATTCGGTTTGGTCAATTCGGATGTCGGAAAAACCAAGACTTTGAGCTGGCTGCCAATGATGAGGGGATGTCGCCGCATGCATGTTTTACGGTAACGCTACTAGATCGAGCTTCCAACCCGCTCGTAAAGAGACTTTCAGGCCTTCGGAAACATGGGACAAGAGCTGATGTTGAGGTATTTCAAGAAGGAGGATGTCAGCTTCGGGGTAGCTGGAGTTGTGCCTCGCTTGAGGAAGCTGCTGACGTCACCATACCGGAAGACAACGCCGCGCGCAGATAATCTACTACTACGACATCCACGATCTCTTTGTTACGACTATCGTCATAAGAATAGGGCACCATTCAATTCCACCTTCCATCATGGTCGCAGTGAAAGTGTGGTCTCAAACACCTCGATCGCTACCTAGGTACCCCGGTACCATGTGACGGAACTGGGGATCTTTAACGCGGAATCATCACTCAATCAACTTATCACAGCAGCTGAACATGGCCTCTGCCCCCTACACTTTTTGGATATGCCCCCTCAGTACTCCGTACACATCCATATATCACCATGCCCCGAAATCCCTCCACATGCTAGGCTGAGTATCTTTTGCATGTCATTCGACGACATCATCGACAGGAGGAAACAGTCTTGTGAATCGTGGCCACCACATATTCACCGAAAACGATAGAATTTGTACCAGTATTCATGCGATGCTACGATGCCAGTCTGCGCACAACACAATTGCCTCGTACAAGACTGTATCTCTTTCTTCGGCCGGCATGACAATCAGATGAACAAGGATCAATATATACAACCAAAGAACATCAGAAACGTGCGCAAGCGCTTGTGATCACTCACTCCCCACTCGCAACTCCACTTGCACACAGCAGCTCACTCAAAGAAGACGCAACCACATATAAATACCAATATCATTGGCCACATCCCCATCGCAGCACAAAAAGCTATATACAAATCTCAAAGCGAACGTCAATATATACATAATTCCGGGTCCACATCTCCCAGCCCATCGCTCCACCCTTCAGACTAAGCCCTCTACCCCAACGCATCAATCGCAGGCCCTACCAAACCACTTGACTAACAGCTCGGCAGCTTCTCCAACTTCCCCTGCGCTCCAGTGCAAGCGCTCGTCGAGCTAACCTTGCTGCTACTCCCGTTCCCCTTGTTAACACCCTTGTACTCCTGGCACACCTTCTTCGTCGTTCCGCAAGATCCGCTAATGGAGGCTGTGTCACCGAAGTTGGAGTTGATGCCGATGAGATCGGAGATAAGCCCGAAAGCGCGGACATTCTCGACGATGACCTTGCGGGGCGACTTTTTGGAGTTGTCGGTGCAGTCGCCGCAGGAGCGGTAGAGCTTTCCGGCGTTGACGATGGTGTAGTTCTTGATGGTTACTGTGCCGGCGCCGCTGGAAGGGGTGTGTTAGTATGTGTTTGGGTTGTTTGGGGTTGTGTGGGGAGGGGGAGGGGGAAGGGAAGGGATAGGGGAGACATACTTGTGTTGAATAACTTTGTCGCTGGCTTGGGCGGCGCCTCCGCCTTGGATGAGGGCGTTGCCGCTGCCGAGGATGGAGATGGCGTCTTCGCAGACGTCGCGGAACCAGACGTTTGTTAGGGTGCAGGAGCCTGTTATTCCAAGGTTGTTAGTGCCATTCCTCCAGGGTCGCGAGAAGAATGTACAACATACCCAAGCAGTGCACGCCCTCGAGCGCATTTGCGCCAATAATGACGTTGGAGATGGACGCGCCGTTCTGGAGGATGAAGACGGCGCTGTCGCTACCAGTGTCCTCGTCTGAGTTGCAAGGCCGACCGCGGTCGAACTCCTTGTTACCAAAGTTGACGCTGCCGGTGATGGTGCTGGGCTGGGGGAGCGACACGATGCTGCCTGAGCGAGTGGGAATGTTGAGAGTCTGCGCAGCTGCCAAGCTGGCGACGAGGGAAAGGAGTGCGACTTGAGACAACATGATGGTAACAAGTTCGTGCGTAAGTTGGAGAATGAAGTGGAGGAGCTGCTAAGTTTGCAGATGGGCTGAATACTCAGAGAAGAAGTGAGTGAGCTGCTGGTCTACCACTCGGAACCCCCATTGCCTTTATACACATCCTCGATACCCACCTCTCCTCGATACCTGCATCGCCAACCAGATCTAGACACCGATGTAGCCCTCTACGGACGTCGTGAAATTGCTACGGGGTGGATGAGACCCTGGATTGTGGATCTCGTCAGGCAAGCCAAGACACTGTAGTATTTGTGGAGAATGGTGGAGAATTGTCTTCCGCCGTGGTAAGTTGTGCTTGGCTAGGGGCTGAGGTTGTTGTACCCTTACCGGTGGTTAGAATGGTCATGCCCACCATCACAACCTCACTATTTCGATCTACACTGCATAACTGAATACGCCCTGGATCTTTCGTGATTCGCGGGATTTCTCGTTGACATGTTCTTCCGCACGCCATGAGTCGAGAATGTGCAGTTGTGCGATGGAGAACAGTATCTATGACACAGGTGACGGTGTTTTGGCGTTGCGGTATATTGGGGAAAGACCTGGGGTACATTAGTGCAGCGCCATATGTCGGTAGAGAATTTTCCGCGGTGTTTGGAAGGATTCCTGGGCGGAGGGTTGGTGATGACTTGGCGTTTCAGTTGGGAGATGGGCTATGGTTCTTGTGGAATGCCACCTCTGGAGTCGATCTTTGGGCGGGTGGTATGCGATTAAATCTCTTTCAAAATGTTCCGTTCTACTTTGAGAACAGATCGCCTCGGCGAAGATGTGCTGTTGGCTGGTCGTGCCTTCACGTCGTAAAGAAGTCAACGCGTTCTCACCGCTCACGTATCTTCGTTCGCTGGACTCAAGATTCTGTCGAAGAATGCAAGGCCTAGGCTTACATATGGGTACCTCTGGATCCATACTTCCGGTCTTGCATATCTCTATGGTGATGGCCCGTTTCCGCGACTCCCGCGAGGAACCACGATCAAGTTGCTCACCGATGATTGGCAGTCGTCCATCGGTGAACGGCTCCTATCAGCGGAAGCACCCATCCAAGAGTACTAGAACGTCTCAGATGGGGCGGATGGCAGTAAGTACCCGATCCGACGGCATTTGAGAATGGGCATCATCGCCGACGATGCCCAGTGTGCTGCTCCATGGGCACAATCCATATTGTAAACTTTCCGCTGCGTACTTCCACCAACCGGCGCCATTGGAAGGACAGATCCATATTGCATAAGCCTGGATAGGCAATGCAAGTGCGGAACGTTTCCTAGAATGTGTTTCAAGATCGAATGCAGTAAACACGCGGAGATCATGACGCCTGGACAATGTGAGGGCCGCGATACTTTCTACGCTGGTAAATGGCGTGTTATGAATGTCTTGTCGTTCTAGATAGATTAGTGCCACGACGAAAAGTGAATTTGATCAATAATCACCAAGGTGTCGATGTTTGAGAGAAACAGCATGCAGATGTCCATTTGGACTAGCAGATGAGTAAAGTGGGCCGAAGTCTTGGCAGCGGAGGCCCACCGAAAAGTCTCGAGCAATTCAACACCTCTACACAACCAACGCGCCACACTACCCACCGCCCAAAATGTCATCCATGAGAAATGCCGTTCAACGGCGCAACCACAAGGAGCGCGCGCAACCCGAAGAGCGCGCAAAATGGGGTCTCCTCGAAAAGCGCAAGGACTACAAGCTGCGCGCGCACGACCACAAGCAGAAGCAGGCCAAACTCAAGATCCTGAAGCAAAAGGCGCAGGACCGAAATCCCGATGAGTTCTCCTTCAAGATGATGTCGTCCAAGGTGGACAAGTCGGGGAAGAGGGTGGCGGACCGAGGCAACAAGGCGCTGAGCATGGAGGTGGTCAAGCTGTTGAAGACACAGGACGCGGGATACATTCGCACCATGCTGCAGCAGACGCGCAAAGAGAGGGAGGAGGTAGAGCAGCGCCTGATAATGGAGGAGCAGGGCGAGGTGCGTGCTGTGAGGGATGCGGCGAGGACGAAGCAGGGAAAGCACAGAGTCTTTGTGGACAACGAGGAAGAACAAGAGGAGTTTGAACCAGACACTTGGTTTGGGCGCGGCGAAGAAATTCCTGCGCGCAAGGAGTCGCCCACCTTTGGAGACCTACAAGACGAGCTTTCGGAAGACGACGACGAGGCACCCATCCAGCGGCCGAACACGTTATCGAAGAAGCAGATAGAGGCACAAGAGCAAGCACGGAGAGAAGCGAGAAAGTTCCGCAAGGAGAGAGAGCGAGCACAAGAGCGCCACGTAACAAGACTACGCGCCCTCAAGAAGCGGGAGAGCGAACTCATGGCCGCTGAAGAAGAACTCGAACTCCAGCGCGCAAAGATGAACAACACCGTCGGCGGAGTCAACAAGAACGGCGTAAAGTTCAAGATCAGGGAGCGCAAGCGCTGAACCCCCATTAAACTCATATACCCAAATAAATACAACTACAGCCTCGCCGGCATCCTCATCGCGCCATCCAGCCTCAAAACCGTCCCATTCAACATCTCATTCCCCACACATTCCACCACCAACCTCGCAAACTCCTCCGGCAGCCCCGCCCTCTTGGGAAACTCCATACTGTTCTCCAGACTCCTCTTCACCTTCTCGCTCATCATGCGCGTCATCGCGCTATCGAACATACTCGGCGCAATCGTCACAGCCCGAATACCATACTTTGACAGATCGCGTGCAAGCGGCAGTGTCAGACTCGCCACCGCCCCTTTCGACGCCGCATACGCAACCTGCCCCATCTGTCCATCAAACGCCGCCGAAGACGCAATCATAATAATCACACCACGCGACCCATCAGGACTCGAAGGCGTGGTCGTAGTCATATGCGGCACCACCTGCCTCACCAAATCCAACGTCCCCCTCAAATTTATATTGAGCACGAAATCAATACTCTCAATGCTAAGCTGCTCGTTCTTCTTGTCGATGATCAGGCCTGGCATTCCCACTCCTGCTCCTGCTACCACGCCTCCAATATCTTTTCCTGTTTCTTTCACCCACGCGACTGTGCCTGCGACTGCGGATGCGATGGCGTCTGTGTCTGTGACATCGGTTTCGAAGAACTTTGCGCGGGACCCGAGTTCGGACACGATTTTGGAGCCGTTGGAGGCGTTGAGGTCGAGCAGCGAGACGTATGCGCCAGAGGAGTGCAGGGCGCGGGCGGTTGCGAGACCGAGGCCTGAGACGCCGCCGCTTATGAGGAAGGTGCGGTCTGCGATCTTCATTATGGGGGAGGGTGAGGTGAGGATGTAGATGGATCGGTAGTTAGACGAATATAATGTTGCGACTGTCAAGTCTCTGGCTGTGCTCGTGTCTACGTGATGTAAAGTAAAGCCGCAACTAAAAGCGCATGTGAAGTCTAAACCACGAAATGCCGTTCCCCAAGCTCACTTGCCTCGGCTCACCCAGATCGGCCAAACCACGCCCAGAACCTCCGACATGCCCGCTCCGTATTCTCACCACCGAACTGCATGGACACGCCCCACTCCGAATAACATCAATCTTGCCAATCCAATCCAATCTCGAACCTCAGCACCGCCGGGAGTCCGCAAAGACGCCCACTCACGTCTACGTCCACCAACCACACACTTCCTACATCGTCACTCGCTACCTCATACCTCGAGCTCCATTCGGCCACGCATTCGACTTGCACCACCCAACCCCACCGTCTGGGTAGCACCCACGTATCACTCGATCTTGCAATAGCCCACGATCCCGATGGCCAACACAGAAGACCGCATGATAATCGGCACCAATCGCACACCCACAAACCCCACACCCCTATCCGCGCCCCAAGAACAACAAGTCAAAGACCTGTACTACAAAAACGTGCGCGCGAAATGCGCAAAGGAGATTGAAACCTTTGCGCAGTGTGCCCTCGGACGCACCTTCACAATGATATACGCGTGCCGCCAACCACGACTGGCGATGAATAGTTGTATGTTGCAGTATCAGAATCAGGATGAGTTGGACAAGGCAAGGTTGGAGTGGTTTGCATTGGCGGAGGAGAGGAGGCAGGTATGTTGTATTGACTCTCAGTTCATGCACTGTCCACTGACTGGAACACTAAAATGCTAACACCCCCACAGGCGCGAATAGACCACCAAAGAAAGCTGGAAGACGCGCGGGAAAAACACAAAGAATGGTGGAATCTAGACGAGAGTGGACGGACGCTGGGGAAGAAAGCGGAAACGGTTAATGAGGAGGGATTGAGAAGGAAAGAGGAGAATAGGGTGGATGATAGGGGGGTTACTAGGGGTGGGGTTTATGGGTCAAGATGATGAGGAGGGGTGTTGGAGACGGATTATGGAGCGGATGGATGTATATTGTATTATAACGTGTAAATACTCTCTTCCGCAATTATCAAACTCAGCGCAGCCCATTTGCGCGCAATGTAAAAGCTCAAGTTTTTTGTCCAACTCTGGTATACCTCGCAGTCCAGTCCAATCCATAACGCCGTACCAAATGCTCAAGTCCCACCCAAACGCCGTACCAGTCACCCTTTGTGCTGCTGCCTGCTCAAGTCAAGCTCAACTTTCAGCTCAACCGTTATTCTCCTGGTTAATCCCCATAGCCTCCTCAAACTCATCGTCATCAACCTCCTCATCCTCCTCCATACCCCCCATATCCGTATCCTTAGCCTCCGTCTCACCTGCCACATTCCCTACCGTCGTCCCATTCACCGTGCCCACAGGGCCCCCAGCAAACCCAACCCCCTCCCCATCAACCTCCATATCCTCATCCCCACCCTCATCCTCAACACTCTCCTCCCACGCCCCCTTAACCCCCCACCCCACACCCGTAAAGCAATACCTCTCCGGCGGCAACCTAATCCCAAACTCGCGCTCAATCCTCGGCAACGCAATACGATTCCTCTCCTGAGCAACCTCACTCATAAACTCCTTGCCCAAACTCGTGTTAAACGCGCCCGCAGCCCTTGCTCCCACAGCCGTACGCAGCGCATTCAGACTCACGGCGTCTTCACCGCTGCCATCAGCGTTGGCGCCGCGTTTCTTGCTGCCGGAGGTGGTAGGTAGAGGTGGTTCGTAGGAAATGGCGTCGGAGAGGATGGACGAGGTGTAGCGGTAGGCGAAGTCGAGGAGTTGGAGGGGGACGCGCTCGGTGTAGGCGTGCACGCCCATGTTGGCGAGGATGAGGTGGATGAGGCGGGCGTCGCGGGGGCGTTTGCTGGTGCCGGGGTCGGAGAGGGATGTTGGTGGGAAGGCGGGGTTCATTGGTGCGGTTGTAGAGACACCGTTGGACTGTTGCGATGGTTGCGCGGTTGGCTGTGAGGGTTGTGGTTGCGACTGCGTGGGTGGGCTGAGTGTGGGTGCGTTGGCGGTCGCGGGGGGCGTTGAGATGCCATTTTGCATGGGTTCTGCGGCGGGTGACGCCATGGTGGGTGGTGTGGTGGGTGCGCGTGATGTCGGTAGGTGAGTGAGGTTGAGGCGCGTTGGTGAAGTTGCGACGGACGGGCGCGAAGGCTTGGCGCCCGCATGCGGCTCAAGTGGAATCTGGGGAAAGGTTACACTAGCGAACTACAAGTGAAGGCGGATTAGATAGAATGGACACGCATGCGAACACATAATGTTAGATCAAAATGATGAATCAACGATACATTTTGCTAATTACTACAACACGCTCAATACAATACTACACAACCCCCAACCCAACCACATCCTCCTCATCCCCCGTCCCCGTCGCCTCACTAGCAACACTCTCATACAAACTCGGCGTCTTATCCTTCTCCTTCCTCCCAATCTTCTTAGTAATACTGCCCCAAACACCGCCAGCAGTCCCACTCTTCGGCGTGCCAATCTGAGGGCTATTCCCCACACTCTCGGTGCTCTTGCCTAGACCAAAGAAGCCACTTGTTGAACCCTCCTCGTCATGCTCATCAGGTGTACTGGGTACATCGGATTTGGCAGACTTGGAAAACAGCGCGTTCTTCTTGCCGAACGTGAGGAACTGGTTAGTGCTACCCTTGCGAGTGAGTTTCTGCATGAAGGATTCCTTGCCGATTGAACCCGCAGCGTCGGAGGCTGTGTGGGATATGCTTCGTTCGAGAGATTCGCGGGGGGAGGCTTCTGAGGCGTCAGCCGTAGAGATAATAGAAGGCGTGTCCCGCGACATGCGGGAATCATGAGGAGAAGTTGTGTCTCTGGCGTCGCCGGCTTCCGAAGGCGTAGCGTGCTTGTCTTTGCGGGCGGCCTTTTCCGCCTTGTCGGCCTTGACCTTCTTTTCCTTTTCTTCCTTCTTCTCTGCCTTTTCGGCGCGGCGGGCTTCTTTCTCGGCGGCGCGCTTGGCTTTTTCTTCTTCGTTCTTCTTGCCGAGTTGGAACATGGTGAAGCTTGCTGCTGCGGGGTTGAGCTGCTTTGGTGGGGTGGGTGGGATGGGTGGGAGTGATGAGGTCGACGGCTGGGCTGGCATGTGGGAAGCAGATGACTGCGGTCGAGTGCCAATCGGCGCTTGAGTGGGCGAGCGTGTGTTTGAAGGAAAGTCCAGAACATCATCGTGGATGTCGTCGTTGATCAGGTTTGCGCTCGACGTGTGTTGCATCGAGGGTCGACGAGACCCTAGCCGTGACCATGAAGTGGTGTTGGTGTTGTTGACGCTCCAGTCGACTCCAAGAGGACTAGCCCGAGCACCGAAGGCATCCACATTCCAGCCGAAGCGCGTCTGGCTCTCGGTCGATGGACGTGGCAGAGCCATGCCTTCTCCGGAGTTTGTAGAGCCCTGACGCGGAGACTCCGGCCTCTGCATGCCTAGGATATTACGTAGCCATGGGTCTTCACCTCCCTTTGCGCTGCTGAACATGTTGAACGGTCGTTTGCGGGTAGCCACATGCTTTGGACTACTAAGCGACTCAATCGGCTGAGTCTTGGTGCGGATGAATGTGTCGTACCATGCGCCTTCGGAATGGCTACCGCGGCGGCGAGTGTTACCCAGACCGTCAATGCCATGGTCCTGGCGGGGTAGTGACTGACTTTGTGACGGTTTCAAGGAGCCCAGCGCTGGACCCTCATCGGAGAAGGTCTTACCCCGTGCTCGGTTCAGTCCAAAGAGCCCACCAAAACGACTGGCTTGGGGATTGATCTGGAAGGAGCTGGATGTTGAGTGAATGGAGCGCCTGTCGTTGTCCATGTTGTTGTCATGGCTGGGATAAAAGTTGAGTTCACCAGCACTGTCCCGAGGACTTGCTAGAGCACTGGGCGAGCCGCTCTGTGGAGAAGCTGGTGAGCTCGAGTTTTGCGTGTGGTTCATGGTTCCAGGGGCTCCAAGACCAGGTAGGACGTTCCTCATGTTGGGTGAAGGATCCAGCGACGGTGCTTGGGGTGGACCTGGGTCGTCGTCTTCGTCTTCCGTCAAGCCTAGATCATCCCCAAATAATCCCGCTGGAAGCAATGCACCGGCTGTCGGACTCATTGGCGCACCGCCGGTCAAGCTCTCGAAGTCGGCCTGCGAGAAGGATGTGCTGTAGTTCCGAGGAGGAGGCAATGCCATGCCGTTGACTGGGTTGAAGTAAGGCGTGGCGGTAGCGAACGAAGGTGATGAAGTCGTCGGGATGCTGTTGAACGGGGCTGATGAAGTATGCACGAAGCCACCAGTTGCTTGAGCCAGAAGCCCTTCGCGCATGCTTAGCGGTCGCGCACGCTGGCTGTTCCTCCTGACGGGACCCATTTCTGGGACTGGCGGTCCTGAGAAGAGTTGCGGCTGGCTCAGGCGGCGCTGCTGCATGTAGGTCAATCTGCCCGTGGCATCTTGATGGGCTCTCTCCGCCTCGGCGTATAGCGCCCAAGCCTGGGCATACTGCTGCTGCAAAAGACCCAGAGTCATCTTCCATCGGTTGTCCTCTTCCTTCTCTGCATTGTCGGGGCCGTCTGTAGCTTCGGCGCCTTCTTGACCTTCCTCCAGCTTCTGCCTCTCCTCTTCCAGAGCCTTGATGTGGATACCCTTCTCGCGGATGGCGTCTTCCAAGACCTTGTTCGCCTGCGTCTCGTCGGCGTACTTGTCTTTGAGGTCCTGGACGCGCTTCTCGGAGGCTGCCTGGTACTCGGTCTGCTCTTTCTTGATCTTCTCAGCAGTGTCGCGGAGTTCGCCCGCCTCCCTGGTCCACTTGGCAACGTCGTCCTTCAGCTTCTTGCGCTCGGCTTCCTTTTGACGCAGCACCCTTTCCTGCTGAGCGCGCCTTGTCTGGGCCGCGGCATTCTGACGCTCAAGACTAGCCACCTCTTTCCGCAGGTCGCGACTGGCGTCTTCCTTTTCTTTCAATGCCGCCTTCTTCTCGTCGCGCTTGTCCACCAAGATGGCCTTCTGGGTGACAAACTCCTGGTCCTCGTCCTGGATCTGGCGCTCCATGTCGTCCAACTCGCGTCTGAGGCCGTCCAACTTCTCGGTCAACTGCCGGATCGAGTCTGGGCCTTCTGCCTCTTGCGCTGCCCTGCCTTGGTCCTGCATCTGCGATGCTGGCGAGATCTTCCGTCCGATGTCTGGGCGGCGCATGCGGGAGGTGCTGTTGCTGTGTTCGCGGGTCATGGGCGGGGCAGCGACGGAGGTGACGACATCGGCGAGGGTCTTGTTGGGGCGGATGACGGGCGTGGGGGTGTAGTCATTGTCGTCGCTGGCGAGGGGCGCGTCTTTGGGCGGGGTGGGACCGTAGAAGTCATCCGAGTCGGCGGGGAGCGTGCGCAGGCGGATGGGCACGCTGGGGGCCTGGAAGCTGGACGAGTTGAGGGTGACGATGCGGATGGTGTAGTGGCGGTCGGGCTGCAGGTTCTCGATGGTGATGGACGACTCCTGCGGGGAGATGTCGCCAATGTCGATGCCGTTGATGCGGATCACGTATTTGAGCACCGAGGCGCGCTGGTCGGGCGGCTTCCAGTGCAGCAGCACGCCATCGGCCTTGATACCAGCGAGCGAGACGAGGGGCGCAACGGGGACTTCGAGGCCGAGCACCTGCACCAGCTTCTCGACGGGCTGCGTGAGGACCTGGTAGGCGCGGAAGGCGACCCTGCATGCGCGGTGAGTAGGTGCGCGTGTATTTCTTCTTGTATACAATTCCTACCAGAAGAGGGCCGAGACGATGCACGCCGTGCGCA